CAACAATCCTGAACAGTGGTCATGAGATTTAAAAATAAGATTTTACTAAATCATTCAATTGAGCTACCTTTGCTGAAATGATTTTTATTCAATAACAAAGGAAAAGCCAACAGAAGGAATAAGGCAAAATAACGTAGAGAGAAGAATCCAGAATATCTTGGCTGACTGAATTGTGATCATTGTCCTGAGTATGTTATGCCTTAGCAGTTCCAGATAATGTCTACAGTGTATTGGGAACAGGACCTGGAGCTCAGAATAATAGCTTGCATTAGAAAGGTTTATGTATGAGTCCTCCTTTCCCATATGACCACTGGGAGTTATTAGTGGATTATTGGGAAGGGAAGACAAGCACACAGATGATATCACTCAGAGTATCTTGAAGAGGAGAAAAGGTCCAAGGACAGAATTCTGGACATTTCTGATTCTTAAGGGCAAGAAAAAGACAATCCAGTGAGGGATCTTGAAAATTAAAAAGAAGTGGAGGGTGAAATAGTGTCATAGAAATCCTGAAGAAGACAGACAGACAAAGGACTGGTCAGGAGTGCCATACACAGAAAACAGTTTAAATAAGACTTGAAGAGTGTCTGGAACTAGCACTTAAAGGTGCAGTGCAGTTCATTACTTAATAAGGCCCTTCTAGCCATTCTCCTCCATTCTGTGTTGTATTGTAAATCCTAGCCTCTAAGCCTGTGGCTCTGAATACCCATTTTGGAGTGAGGTGTCCGTTATGTTAATGAAACAGAATTAAGGTGGCCAGTATCTTGAGGGTGTGACTCAAAGTTAGCATCTTTAAACTTCGTGGGAGTGTGGTCTGCAAATTAATTGTCATCTTTGATAACTGTTTTAGAATAGTAAAACTTTCTGTTTTAAAGCAGTTCCCTTTTTAGCAAATGTCCAGCTTCCTGATTAATTAAGAAAAGCAGGAGACTAGAGTAGTAGAACTGGCTGAGGCCAGATCTGGTCCACCTAACATGCACAGTAACAACCAATGAGTTGTTTACCTGACATTTTATATATCATGGGACTTCAAAACATACCCCTATCAATGTCCTATAGAAGAACTGATGCATTTGAGTTATGGTGTTGGAGAAAAATATTGATAGTACCATGGACTGCTAGAAGAACAAACAAATCTGTGTTGGAAGAA